CGGCGGGGGATGGGCAGGGCGGGGTAATAGAGGCAAACTGCTCCCTTTGAAGCCGCCCGACAAATGGAACCTGGGCTGCCTGCGAGCCCGAAGAGTCAGCCTAGGTCGATTTGAGTTGCGGTGAAGCCCAAAAGAAGTGGCGGGCCGGCGGGGGATGGGCAGGGCGGGGTAATAGAGGCAAACTGCTCCCTTTGAAGCCGCCCGACAAATGGAACCTGGGCTGCCTGCGAGCCCGAAGAGTCAGCCTCCCGCTCCTCTCCGGCGCTTGCCCGGCGCAGCCCACCCCACCTACCCACCCACGCCGCCGCGGCCTCCCCGTCGGGCACAGCCAGCCGAGAGGCGCCTCTGGAGCGGGCCTTCCCACGCTCCCCCCGGCAGGCAGAGCCGCGGGGGAGGAGGGGTGGGGGCACTGCTCTGGTGGGCGGGGCTTCTGTGAAATTTCGGGGAGGGCTGGCGCCCCCGCGCAGATTACGCCGGTGGAGACAGGAGCACAAGGGAGTTAAGTAGGACATAAATCATGAATCCAACTCTATCGTTCCTGTCCTCACCGACAAGCAAAGTCACACTTCTTCTAAGTCCATATTCGATTCGTTCTTTTTACACTGGCTCTCTGCAGAGCCCTTCGTTCCTCGCCATTAACCCCCTTCCAGGTTGTCCCTCAGTTCCTAGCTGGACGTGGTTCCTGACACTTTAATATCACAATTCCATCTTGGCTTCACAGTCCAACTAGAAGCAATCAGTATAGACAGCAATACATTATGCACATTTTAAGCAGCAGGAAAAGAAAGATAAGAGCAATCTTAACGTTCTCATGGTCAACATAAGCATTATTTAATTTTGAGTTCTGTAGCTGGAACACAGGGATCTTGGAGCTATGTCCAAAGCAAGGAATAGAGATATTGCTCTTGGTAGCTCTTAAGTAGATGCTCCCAAGTCAGAAAACATGTGAAAGATCAATTCAGGGAATATAACCAAAGCTATACTACCTTCAAGCAAGCAAATTTTATGTTGAGGAAGCTGTTATACCTTTCTCAACGCAGCTTTTTGTTTTTCTTGAACTCTTGTTTTCAGGGATGCATGTTTCAGGAACGAGCATTTCATCTGTACTGGAACTCCTAATCAGTGTATCACTTAAGGATTCTTTGCAGTGGGTTGCACAGATACCACTGTCCTCCCCTTCATTATTATTGATGCTGTCTTGCTCAGTTATTCCCATCACTTTGTCCCTGCTTTTCAGGGCCTCCTGCCTGCTGCCATTAAGCGGGTTCTCATTTTCATCCGGTGAAGAAGCCAAGCAAGTGTTTATTTTTTCCACATGAGTGTCAGCACGAAGCAGGTCATCCACGTTTACCTGCAGGTCATTTGTAGGAGATTCCCTGTCATCCATTAGAATGTTCCTATTCCTTTATATCCACTTTGTTGAAATGATCCTCAGCTCTAAAAAATAAAATAAATTGAAATAATTATAACAGAAATTTAAATCATATTATTTTATCAGCCAGGTTCAATTAAAACACATATGCAAAGGCCAACAGGCCCTTAAATACTGTATAGACAAAATATATAGAAAATATAAACAAAATATCCTAGTTAAAATGCCAGTAATATGCTGAGAGTTCATGGCACTCTCTGAACCAGGGTTTGCAAGCCAGCATGGGAAGCCAGCATGGTGTAAGTGGCGGACTCTAATCTGGAGAACTGGGTTTGATCCCCCACCCCTCCACTTGAAGCCTGCTGGGTGACCCTGGGCCAGTCATAGTTCTCTCAGAACTCACTCAGCCCCACCGACCTACATCACAACTTCACAAGGTGCCTGCTGTGGGGAGAGGAAGGGAAGTCGATTGTAAGCCGCTTTGAGACTCCTTAGGGCAGAGAAAAGCGGGCATAAAACCCCCCAACCCAACCCAAACATCAGCTACTGGATATGAGAGAAACCTTGGTTAGCATTAGCTCTATTTAGTACCAGTGCACATTTAAATCATGGTTAATGTTGAGATTGGAGAAAGATTTCACGTCACAGGGAAAGGAGTGCAATAACCCATCTCCCATTCTAGAGATCAAATTTTTATCCTTTAAGGCACTCAGAGTGACATACAGGGTTCTCCATTCTTCTCTTTTATCTTCCTAACAATGCTGTGTGGTAGGCTAGGCTTAGAGTGAGTAGCACAAAGTCTTCCACAGAATGTAATGCTTCAGTGGAAATCTGAACCCAGGTTTCCCCAATCAAAGTGCAACAGGCTAACCAACATACAGTACTGAGCCCGCTTGCGGGGGTAGGGTGGGGTATAAATTTAATTTAAAAAAAAAACAACCCTGCTGAAATGTCACATTTGCAGGAAGCAAAAGGGAAGTAATGCAAAAGATAGTAAGGAAACCTACACACTACTGGTTGGGTTATCAGTGGTCCTGAGCTATACCTGCCCTGTTTTTTAATGTGTGCATATAACCTATTGTATGTGTGCTCTCCTGTCTATTCAGAGGGCACAAGTATTTTTGTTTCTGTGGATGAACACTAAGAAGACAGGCCTGAAAGCCTTACTTGGCAGTACTGAAGTGTAAAGAGAAAGGAGCTGGCTTTGCTGACCCAACAAGCTACTTTAAGCAACAAATACTACCTGCAATATTACTAAACTGGGTCCAGTGATATTTTCTTATTTAACTGGGCAGTATTCTCTTCCTACTACACTTCTGTGTTTGCACTGGCAGGCTGTTGAACTTTTAGGGTGTTTAAAACAACAACAACAACAACAAATTCTATAGTAAGCTAAAATGTGTTACCAGGCCATAATGATATTTTGCTTTGAATACTCATTAGCACCAATTTTAGCTTCTTTTTAACAGGACACCACAGGAGACATTTAGACAGAAAATCTTTTGCAGACACACATTTGGTGAAATCACCATCTTGGCCATAATGCAAGTTCAATAAAATATGCCTGAACGTGTTCAAAGGGTAATAGAGTTTTTTTAGAATGCATAACATTGTGTTCTCCTGAACAAAAAACCATATGTTAAAGCTAGATTATATCTCTGTCCTACAGAAGGAGAAAATCTATATAAAAATCAAAATAATTAAGGATGAGTCTCGTGGCTTGCTCTGCTCATACAAGGAGGAAGGCAATTCTCATTTTCGAAGCAGCCCTTTGTGCCATGCTAGATTTTACTAACAAGAGTTTCCTATCCCACAAGAGAGGCTTTTTGGGTCACGCAGAGGCTGCTGGGGGAAAGAAAGGAAAATCCATTTTGACAAATTCCTTTTGTTTATGGAAATAAAGATTTAACCCTTTGTACTGGGTAGGGCTGTTGTCTCTCTGTCAGCTGACCAAAGAGTCTGTAATTGAGAAAGAAATTAAATATTTTAATTAGATATTAGTCAGATAATGGGTCTATTCAGCTGCACTCCAGGTATTCTTTCCTAGTCATTCTACTATTTACGTCATATGTTTTATACCATCTTCAATTAAAAAATCTTGAAAGTGGTCAACAAAAAGCCTATGAAGCCATGTAAATGTCACTGTAACAGTGCAGCCACAGTGTGTGGTCGATTGTGTTCCAGAGTCCCTGGTTAAGAATTTATTTTATTTGAACACAACTGTTTATCTCATTTACTAGGGTTACCCTACAGTAAGTACCTTTTGAGGAAGATGTGCAATCATTTTATTCAATTTGTTTACCCCAAGCTAAATACCCCTTCTCTAAGGAGCATAAGGTCCTCATTCACTTGGTGATACAAAGGCTACAGGGACTGCGTGTACATGCCTCACAATATTCAGTGACCTATAAGCAAACCCTAAGCATCAGTAGTGTCACAACCCCTATTATTACACGCAAGCACAAATACATGCACAAAATGTAATCACTGAAATTAATTTTCAGATAGCTGTTTGGAAAAATGAACCGTCTAAGAGCCTTAATAATGGAAGTTGCAACAACATTTTGGGTATAAGAACAATGTGTGTTACGGAAGAATCAATGTTCATGACCTATTAAAATTTCATAAAACTTTCCCCCCCTCAGATCCCTTTCTATCAGTATTTTAACAAGGGTTAATGACAACTAAGAAGAGACCTGCTTGTAGATGAAGGTACCATTTCACTATAAAATTAGAGCAAATAATTCAATACGACTATGCTACATCATAATCACGGATTACATACTTGCTTCCTAACTTTTTGCTTTGACATCACTTGCCTTTTCAAAATAACTTTCTATACATGGTAGGGTTGTCAGGCCCAGCCTGGCAACAAGTGGGAGACCAGGCTGGGCAAGGGCATGGGGGAATGTCTGTCAGTGACATCATTTCTGGGGGAAAGCCCCAGTGGCCTCTGGCCTGGGAGAGGAGGGATGGCTGCTGCTGGGGAACTGGGGCAGGGAAACCTGCCATGTGGAAGCCCATTGCCACTGTGTTGCACCAGCAGTCTCAGCAACAACAGGGAAACCACACAAGCCTGTCCCTGTGCGCAAACCAAGTGGTTTACTCCTTGTAGAATGTTACTCCTTGCAGAATTCTCCAAGAGGGAGATTTTTGCATTTTTATATCTCTGCATGTAGTGGTCAGTCATCACAGGATATAACTGGATATCTGCTGTCTGATAAAAGTATATCTTATCAGGCTGCACTATTTGCATCAAAGTCAATTCAAGCAAAGTATGTGGGGAAATGCAGGTCTCATATAAGCAATCCATTTGATCAGGATGGATACAGGAACATGATTCTTGTAGAATTTTCAGGGTATAAGTGTTGGAGAGTCAAAGCTCTCTTCATTATATATGATCTGGAATGATGAAGGGAGCTTTGACTGTTGGAGAAAACCTCCCCCCCCCATCTTGTTTGGTTTCTTAAGATGCTACTGGACTCTAATCTAGCTGTTCTACTGCAAACCAACATGGCTACCCTCTGAAACGATCTTCATGATTTCTGTATTGTATTGAAGAGTTCAACTTGTTCGTATGAGAAATTCTTGATTTTTGTCAATGATTCTAACCTGTTTTGCAACCGTTTTTGGCTATAGCAATAATATACCAAATGTCACAAGCTACTCTCACATGGGGGCATATGCAAATGTGTTCACACCTTTCACACATACCAGTGCTGTTGCCTTATTTTACCTCAGGCTTATACCTTGCATTATTTTTGATACGGTCAAGTTACCACAAGGAATTTCAACACACCAAATAAACAAACTGACTATTTGGTTTAAACATGCTCTTGTGTTCTTGTGTGGTAAGAGATTAGTCTCATTTTCAGCTTTTCACTTTTGTGGTAAACATCATCCTTTGTCACAACAATAAAGTTAAACGAAATACTTGCTATGCAAACAGATGCAAAAACCAGTTTGTGAGGAACATGTTAAAAAGTTAAATAATAATTAAAGATGCCTATTCAGAACTCAAAGAGCTAATGGAACGAAGGACAGCAGCTGAAAGGTTGAAACAGATCAGTGTAAATGTCTGATCTAATTTTGATTTAATGGAACTATTTTCTCTCCCAATATCTTGATGGGAGAGATGAAGAATTGATGGCAAAAACACCGTTGTATCATCACTATTCCTGTGAAGAAAAGATAGTGCTGGGTGCATTATTCTTCTATAGTTTCAATAACAATGAATACAGCAACAGTACACAATGGCTGAAGCACTCCAGTGTCCTAAAAGGGATTCAGAAATGAATTCTGCAATAAGTAGATGTTTCTTTATTAACATCCCATTTCTCCCAAATGATAATCTCAAAATACATTCTCCTCCTGTTTATAGAACTTCTTGGGAACTTACAATCAACTTAAATAATTCAACTATCTGAGTAATCTAAACAAATGTTATTTTTATAGAATGTTAGCAGTCATCAACTGCCATGAAGCTCCACACCTTGCTAGAAGCATTCTTCAGAGGTGAGCAATGGTGAACAAAGATGGTACTTTTAAGCAGGGGTCATTTGGGACCGGAGCACACCGGAGCACTGCTCCGGCAGCCTAGGAGCAGGCACAAGCCTCGCCCCCAGCTTGCTGCCCCACCCGCCGCAGAGAGAAGGGGTTTAAAGTTTAAACCCCTTCTCTCTTCACTTCTCCCCCCCACCCCGCCTTGGTAGGCCGGCTGGGGAAGCAAAAAAAGGGGGGATGCATCTTTAAAATCCTCCCCTCCCCTTCCCTTCTTCAGTCAGCCTGCCAAGGCGGGGTGGGGAGTGAAGAGCGAAGGGATTTAAAGTTTAACCCCCTTCTCTCTTCACTCCCCCCCCCCAGCCTGCCTGGGGAAGGGAAGGATTTTGAAGATGCCTTCCCCCCTTTTGCTTCCCCTTCTGACATCACTTCTGGTGATGTCGGGGGCATAGCATATACTAATGGGCTATTATGCTAATAGTCTATTAGGTATGCTAATGAGCTCCTCCAGCTCTTTTTCTACGAAATGACCCCTGCTTTTAAGTATAACAGGATAATTA